TTCTCCTTCCTTCACAGGTTTTTCTCCAGGTGGTGGGGAAAAACCGAGAGAACAAACAGTATTCATAAATTTCCATGAAGGAGATACTGTAGAATTAACATTCAATAAAAACACTCTGGCATCTGGATAAGAACAGGTAGGAAGCATGATAGCAGTGTCCCAGTATTTGATGGGCTCCTACAAAGATATGAGTGAGGAAGTCTAACTATTTTCCAAAGCATCAGAAGGCAAGACAAGAAACAATGGATGGAAACTAACCATGGACAGAAGCAACCTAGAACTAAGGTGAAATTTCCTAATGGTGAGAGCGAGAAACCAATGAAACAGCTTGGCTCCAGTTAGTTGTGGGCGCTCCATCATTAGAGGCTTTCAAAAAGAGACTGGAGTGTATTTGCACAAAATTGGAAAAATGAGAAAACTCCAACAGAGGAGGAAACAATTTAAAAAAATAATGGAATGTGCAGGAATGAGTAGACTAACAATGGCCATCAGAGAACGGGAGGAAAAAGAGTATTATGAGATTCGGGATTTATTTTATGAATGGTTAGATAGAAGAATAAGAAACTGAAATATGTGGTAATAGTAATAATATACTATAATTGATTAATCTTGAATGAGTAAGAGAATGAATATAATTTAGCAAGGATTAGTTATGTTTTTTAAAAGATAACAATTATAATGTAAATAATATAATAATTGAATAATATAAAATGTTGCTTACAACGGTTTATAAATATAATCAAGTAAGAAATGTACAATAATATTATGATGTGCACAAGATATATGTATCCAACTAACACACTGTAAAATTGAACGATGGCTTTATTTGTTGTCTTTGTTGGTAAAATAAAAAAAAACTTTTTTTAAAAAAAAAGAGACTGACAGCCATTTGCCTGAAGTGGTATAGGGTGCCCTGTTTGAGTAGGGTTGGATTAGAACAGCTCCAAGTCACTTCCAATTCTATTATTCTGTGTTCCATGTTCTATGCATCTCTTATCAAAACATGTACTATCTTGTTCAGAAGTAACATGACTCCTGCAACAATTAAGTTCTACTGATATCAGTGGGTTTACTTGAATTTAGCAAAACCTGGATTCCATCAACTGACTTCGAACTGACCCAAGTTTTTTTGGAAATAGTCTACCTGTTCCACTAACGGCTGACTTGCTTTCATCAAAAAGCTCATGAGATGTTAGCGCATGTTAACTTGTAAATCGTTCCCGTGCCTGTTTCCGAGTTGCCATAAGAAAGGGGTGGGGGGGAAGGCCTGAGGGAACAGTGCAGCAGATGAAGGTCAGAAGCACATTCCACGCTTATCTTGTGGAGATTGTAGCCTAGGCTACTGGATCTTCTGCCCCCAAAAATCCTTCATTGAAGAATGTGACTGATGACACCCAGCCCGTGAATATGTTTGTTGGAGAATCTGATTTGTGACATACCCAGGGGGTGGTGGGGAAACAAGGTCATAGGCAGAGGTGGTATTCAGCAGGTTCTGGAGAACCGGTAGTGGAAATTTTGAGTAGTGTGGAGAACCGGCAAATATCACCTCTGACTGGCCCCGCCCCCATTTATTCTCTGCCTCCCTAGTCCCAGCTAATTGGGTCTTCTTTTGTTGCTCTGCACAGGAGTACGGAGCTGGAAAGCAGGTTAGTGGGGTGGGGAGGGAATGGAGATTCCCCTGCCACGCCCACCAAGCCACGCCACGCCCACAGAACCGGTAGTAAAAAATTTGAATCCCACCACTGGTCATATGTGATAGTAAATTACGTGTCTCAGAGTTGGCTTCATAAGAGTTAGTGCCGGACATGTTGCTCCTAATGTTTTGGATTCTTCTGAAGCTTAGCTCGAGGCTCATGATTTAATTAGGGCAATCCTCGGAACCCTGACAGTGCAATCGTTCTTGAAATCACCTTATTATAAGCACTGAGCATTAATAAGATTGGGGAAAATTTTTTACCTTACATTCTTCATCCAGCAAGTCCAGGATACCCAGTTTAGCTTCTATTAGGTCTATGCATGGCTGATTGTCGTAAAAATCGATGAGGGTCCAGGGAATTTCCTCTTTCATGTATTCATCTTGCTCCAATTTAAAGACATGCTGTGGCAGAGAAAGAGAGCAAACATTAAGCTGTGTATCTGGAAAGGCTGCTTCAATAAACCCCAAATACAGGAAGTCCTTGACTTACAACCATTTGCTTAGTGACCGTTCAAAGTTACGACAACACTGAGAAAAGTGACTCGTGACCATTTTTTGCACTTCGCTTTGGTTAGGTGATCAAAACTCAAATACATGGCAACCGGCCTGTATTTATGACGGTTGCAGTGTCCTGGGGTCACGTGATCCCCTTTTGCGACCTTTGACAAGCAAAGTCAGTGGGGAAGCCAGATGCAACTTAATAACCGTGCTACTAATTTAATAGCTGCACTGATTCACTGAACAACTGTGGCAAGAAAGGTCGTAAGATGGGGCAAAACCCAACAGCTGTCTTGCTGAGCAATGGATATTTTGGGCTCAACTGTGGTCGTAAGTTGAGGACTATCTATAATTGGCCATTTAAAAGCTTAGAACATACTGGATATAGCTCATTGTTTGTTCTCCTTAATCTTCTCTAAAAAACAACAACTAAACCTTAAATTTTCTTTGGGCATTTATAATCTTTTGCACATTTATACTACAGGCAATAAACAGGCAGCAAAAAGGAATTCAAGAAAATAAAATGAAATTCTGAGCCATTTATGTGTCTCAGAATATCAAATCTAGTCATTTGTCTGAAGTGGTATAGGGTTTCCTGCCTAGGGAGGGGGTTGGACTAGAAGACCTCCAAGGTCCCTTCCAACTCTGTTATTCTATTCTATTCTATTCTATTCTATTCTATTCTATTCTATCCTATCCTATTTTTCTTTTCTATTCTATTCTATTCTATTCTATTCTATTCTATTCTATTCTATT